ACAGCCAGGCGTTGTGGCAGGTGCCTGTATTCCTGGCTACTTGGGAGGCTGAGGCAAGAGAATCGCTTAAGCCCAGGAGTTTGAGGTTGCTGTGAACTGTGACGCCACAGCACTCTACCTAGGGCAACACAGTGAGACTCTGTCCCCTCCTCCTCAAAAAAAGTATTGCTTAAAAATTTATTTCAGCTAACTCAATTAGCTACTAGTCATTCAGATATTATTAATGTTTTCCTTTTTCAGAAGTTGATATAATTAATAATATAAATTACAAATTTATAAAATAACTAAAATAACTTCTGTAGAATAATAAAGAAAATTTAATTAATTTTTAAAGCCCAAGTCACAAAAGCATTCATAATCAAACATAAACTCCATCCACGAGGCAGCCAATGGAAACATCCTCCGGTTGTATGACTTTGAGACAAAGTAACCGATTCAAAGTCCTCTAATGCAGCTTATCTATTCTCCATAGTTTTGACCCCAATTTTGTACACATTTTGTTCTTTACCACCCATGAACTTCACCTCAGTGCTGCTCATGTGATGCCCAATAAGGCCAACGAGAGAAACAGCCTGAGGAACACAATGTTGGGTGCCGTGAGCTTTGGAGAGCCACAGACAATTGTGATAGCTAAGATTTTTTTCACCTCCCACCAGAACCAGTTTTCACAGAGACGCATGATCTAAGGAAGGAGGGGACTGTAGGTGCTACATAACCAGAACTCTGCCGCGTGGGATAAAGACCACATCCCTAAATAAGGTAAACTGGCCGTACAGTGTAAGATGACAATGATCAACACATTTTTGTGTGTGGGGGGGAAACCAGCTCATGTTTAATTGTGAAATTTTAAAACTGTACAAGTATTTTGACATTTCCCCCATATCTGGTCTCTGATGATAGTAAAATACCAACCAATCACAGGATTTTGTGGGTTTAATAAGTTTACCCCTTCAGTTCCTATCTGCAGCATCCAATATTCCTCTGCAATACCAGACAGACTGGGCAGGGGCCAACAATAAATTTCTGTCCCCCC